TAGAGTGCCATGATGTCACAGATCACAGCAACCTCCAACTCTTGGACTTAAACAATTCTCTTGCCTCAGTCTCCTGAGTAGCTAGAACTACAAGCACCCGACACAACGCCTGGCTATTTTTTGGTTGTAGTTGTCATTGTTTGGCAGGTCCGGGTGGGATTCGAACTCCCTAGCTCTGTGTATGTGGCTGGTGCCTTAGTCACTTGAGCTAACAGGCACCACCCATCTGTTGTGACTTTTGAATAGATAAATAATGAACAAAACAAAATGGGTTTTCTTGGTTTCTTTATCTCTTTCTACACTCTACACCAACTGTCCTCAACCTACGGCCGGTGGACCACATGTGGCCCGCCTAGGATATTTATCCGGCCGGGTGTTTTTGCCTCTGCTGCCTGTCCTGCTTAGCAGCTGACTCATCCCGGGGCCCGCAGTCTGGCCCTCCAACAGTCTGAGGGACAGTGAACTGGCCCCCTGTTTAAAACGTTTGAGGACCCCTGCCCTACACAGACTTCTCTACCACAAAAAATTGAGCTCCAGAAGCTCAAAGATCTGTCTTGCCTAGGGTATTTCTCCAGCACCTAGACCAGTACCACATACATAGCACATACATAGCAAAACTTCAATAAATACCTGTGGAATAAACAAGTGAGTGAATGAATGAATGAATAACTTGTAATTGTGCTTCTACCATGGCTTCACTTAATGTTTCTAACTCTCCAATTTCTCCTTTTTTTATAACAATATAACACGATTCTTATGGGATCAAATCAAATGTATTGAGAGCATTTTCTTGACTGTCAATAGGTACCATTTGTGGACTGTTCACTGTTTCAGACACTGTTCAAAGGACATTATTTAATACATATGCCAAGTCATTTAATACTTACAATAGTCCTAAGAGGTAAGTGCTATTTCTGTTACTATCTTAGAGATGGAGAAACAGAAGCACTGACAGGTGAAATAAGCTGCCTAAGCGGTAGGATTGGCTTTTGGAGGCAGAGTTTATGCTCATCCCCACGGTGATAGTGCTCAGCTTATCAACTGCGAGTTTCTGGAGAGTCGCATCTATAGCTTATCCACAGCGGGTACTCTAGGGTTCTGCCTTCCGATAATGGAAATTGTATCAAAGGCTGCTTCTGCCAAATATCTTAAAATTTTGTTAATCCTTTTGGGGAAAAAATGGATAAAAGACACCCAGAATTAATTTACAAAAAAGAAAAGTCTAAAAATGGACCTTGAACATATGAAAAATGTGTTCTGTTTCACTCATAATAAGAGAATTACAGATTAAAAGCACACTGAGACACCATTTCTCTCCCATTAGGTTGGCAAAAATTCAAGTTTATGATTGCATTCCGTCAGCAAGACAGTGAGGAAAACATATATGTCATACATTGTTGGTGAGAAGGCAAAATGGTATAGGCCCTGAGGAAAAGAATACGGCAATATCCAACAGACCTCATTTGCTTTTACCCTTGACCTACCAATCTCACTGTGGCGATTTGCTCTGAAGATACATCTCAAACCATATAAAAGAATACATTTGCACAAGGATATTCACTGCAGCAGTATTTACAGTTGCAAAATATTGAAAACTAACTGTTCACAGACAGGTGATTACTTAAACTATGACAAATATTCAGGATAAAGCTCTTTGCAGCTATTAAAGAGAGAGGGAGAAAGAGGAAGAAATCACTACAAAGTGATACATTTCCAAGAAACAAGTGGGAAAAAAATGCAAACGAGTATATTTAGTGTGCTGCCTTGTGTGTGAGAAGGGGAAATAAGAAAACATACATATACCTACTTATCTGTCCAAAGAGAAATCCAGAAAGGCTACACAGAAAACAATAAAGTGATTTCCCTCTAGAGGCAGAGGAAATTCAGGATGGAGTTAACGCTTCTCTGAGTGTACCTTTTTATACAGTGTAGACTTTTGGGAACATGCTCTGCATGATCAGAGAAAATAAAATAAACCAAAATGGGAAGGGGAAAAAACTGGAAGCAAATTAAATAAATGATCTTAACAGCATTTGAAATGAGTGGCGTAATCCTGCTGAAGAAGAAAAAAAGGACAGCCAACTAATCCAAGTACTTTACAAACACAGTATTGGACCATAAGTATTTCTCAGTCTTGGTTGGGTTTGGGAAAGAACAGCAAGCCAATCCCAAACTCTTTAGTAGTCCTGTTTTCTCAAAGGTATGGGCAAAGCAATTCTGCACTTATTTTAGGTATATGATAGTTACAACTATTTCAATTGCACACAAACTTTATGGCCACCCAGTATTAAAAGATTGAGCAAGTGAATGAATGTAATATTGTTAAAGCAAGAGTTCTCAATGTGGAAGAAAAAACATACCATTAATTCATTAATTAAAGAGAGAAGGTAAGATGAACCCTATGGAATAGATTAAATTGGAGGTACTGTGGGGACTTGAGATTTTCTAAAGTATGCAGGCAAGTAATCTCGTTCACAAATGGGGCTTATAAACAAATACACCCAAGTAACAATGGTCATACTTGGGGCCCAGTCTTGATCACTAAAACCATTCCCTACTAAAAGGAAGGAGGAGTCCTTGGAGAAATGGGTGATTCCAGCATTGGGGCAGGGTTAGTCCAAGGTCATCCATGCATCATTTCTGCTGCAGAATTTAAAGGGGCATCTCACAAAGATACAGAAGTCAACTTGAAGGGTTTCCCACTGGCCAAAATTTGGGACAGTCTGTTATAAAGGATTATGATGGAGGCAACT